TGATTTTAGCTTTGCAGGCATCTTCATTCTCCTTTAAAGGAGAGAGAGACAAAGACAACACAATTGAGCGGAGGAGAGACTCTGGGAAGTAACGAATAAAAGAACACAAATTTGAGGAAAAGCTACCCAAATGTTGCTAGTAGCAACCCAGCTAGAATATGACTCCATGGTATAATATATACCTTTTAAATACATGATACAGATTGGCAGAATCTTTCTTGATAGAATAGGAAGTGTTAAAATGTATTACATAGAGCTTTCAAAAGAAGACAAATAATGTCTGCCATCTCCCCAAACAGAAAGTGTACGCTTGAGGAAAACAGTGCTGTGGGCGGGGGTGTCAGCAGGTTCTCAGGCAGTAAAGGTCTTTTTTTGAGAGCACAGAAAATGCATCCTTGTGCATATAGCCTATGCACAGTCATCCTGGCTGAGGAATTTTTATAGAAACAACCTTATCTCACTCAAGGGCATAAATTTGCCAGCTTATAGCTCCACAAATGCCAAAAGAATACTGCAGATTTGCTTTTAGTTTAGCATTCAAATGCTTAGCACTGAGGCAGGTAACAGGAATTTTTTAAGGCTAACTATTTTCCCCAGCCTGGGGGCTGCCCCCAGAGCACTATATATGCCCTCTATATGCACTGTATTCAGGTACACAATGGGCTGCCACAGACTTGGTCTCCATCAATGTACCATGTTAGTCTGGTTTTTCTATTTATTTTTTTTGTTGTTGTTGTTTACTTACTTAAGTAAATTAATTTCCCCAAGATACAGTGCCTAACGATCTGACTATCCATGATATACTTCAAATACTGGAATACATTAGACTATAAGAAGGCCCTATGGTGATTTGCTAATTAGCTTAACCTTTTGGGACACAGAAGAAGGAATTTTTTATTAAAACAGGATAACCCTGGACTATATTGATCTGACTGAGAAACGAGTATTTTAGTCAAGATGAGTCTCAAGATGAGTACATGCTGGAAACGGTGATGTTGTTTCCATAGCAATGCCATGACAGCCTCTAGAGTGAAATAGTGTGCTACCAGGAAATGAAGGGAGTTCAAGTGCTATGAGCTACATAGTTCTGTGAGCAATCCAAATACATTCTCATAAAGAATATTTAGTACAGCTAAATAATCTGAAGATTGCTGCTGATGTGAAGTAAGCCTTATCAGTATGCTTCCAGCGGTCCTGTTTTCTCATTCACCACACCCAAGATGACTTAGCTGAAGGCTTAAGCTATGGGCAACACCGCTACGCCATTTCAGAGCGAACATTAACAAATACAGCAACCTTTACCTCACTTCTTTCCCAGTGAAGAATATCATCCATAATTAAGGACACTGACTCTTGTTCTCCACAACACAACCAAACACATTAAACCTTTTAGTGAAGAAAAGCCTCATATGTGCAATTATTTACCAGCCGACCTTCCCCCTGCCTTTTCTCTCACCTCCTCCTCTCCCTTGCCTCCTCCTGCCCAAACGATACTGAGCAAATCTGCTTGTAAGTGGGAAGTAGTGTAGAAAAGTCTTGCATATTCCTCATGAACATTTACACAGCCATAGCATAAAGCTCACTCGTCTTCTCTTTAGCCCGGTTAGTGTTTATGCTAATACAAAAGCAAACCAGAAAACCACTAATTGTATTTTATTTGCCTAAGGCTTTACCTAAGGCAAATATTCTGATCAAATTCTGCAAAGCTGATTTAAAATATTTTCCAAAGGAGCCAGAAAGAGAATTAACTTAAGATCTGCATTGCTTTATCTTTTCATTTTCAAAGAAATGAACAATTCTCAGTGATTTGTAAAACTGCTAAAATAATGGTTATAACCCAACTGTTCCCAAATAAAATTCTACAAGACAAATTACATTACTTGAAAAACATCCTGGCATACTGCTGCTAATCTATTCTTTCTCCAGTGTTTCCCATGCAATTTGTAAAGATGTTCAAACATGAGCTGAATGTCCAGAAACTCTACCACTGTATTTGTTGTTTGTTGCATTGTCACAACCAGCCTCTTGGGTAAACAGATTGTAGTTCATTATACGTAGCAGTGCTCCCTCTGAGGGAAAGTAGAAAGACAAATACACATCACTGCCAGGTCCCTTATTAACAAATACCACTTCAAATCAAAATGTTTTCTATTTATTGTTTTAAACATATATTTCAAGGAATCAAGCCTTGCATGTAAAACAGCAAGATGCTTCATTTCCATTTTACATCTAGTAAAAAGATGTGAAGTAAGCATTTTTAAAACTGCCTGAGCCTCCTCCTGCCTGTCCCCCTAAGTGTGTTGCAGAAGGCATCAAGCCCAGCAACATTCATTTATAATTTAAACTGTTTGCTTGGCAGATTTTTTTCATCTTAATATGTCTAGTCCCAATTGCAACTGGCACACCCAGTGTTTTTACCACAAGCTCATCTACTTCCAGAAGAGTTTTATGTAACTGGGTTTTCTGTAGCACTGAAAGGCAGTGTCTTTATGGGACAGATGTTGAAACCTAGTGGAAAATATGCCCCTGCAACTTTACAAGGACTTACAGGTCTCTATACGGACAAAAAGATATCTGTGGAAAGACTGATGCAAGTTTAACTTACTCATCCCCTTCTTCCAGTTATTGTGGGCTCCCAGTTAATCCCCATTATAAGCAATATTCTATACCTATCTCACCTTCTCTTGGAACACCTATCTCAACTTTTCTCTTTATCAAAGAATTAAGTAAAAGTAATCTGCCTCATGATCTGGTTTGGACAACTGAGTACAGATACAGCTTATATTGTCTGACATAGAAGTGGGTACAGCCTATTTAACTTTGTCTACTGTCTTGGCACATTCTTAATTTCCCCCTCATCATCACTCCTAGAACATACTCAGCAACTGAGTATCATACCAAAAGAAATGTTTCATCAAGACGTATGGTCATAGTTACAATCGTAAGACTAAATCTGTTTTTCAGCTCTTTCCTAGTAGAAATTGCTAGAATTTGAAACATCACTGGAGGCCAAGTGCTTCTGAACCCTGCATACAAGCGTTTTCATGCAAAGGGCAAATGAAATGTTAATCAGGGCTATAAAATTTATAGTTTTCATAAGCAATTTCTTTACATTTTCTGCTTCAATTTCCTCATCCACAAAATAGTAGACAAATTCATCTATTTACCCACCTCTTAATCTTTTGTAAGGATAAGTTGATCAACATATATAAAGGATGTGAAGACAAAAAGCTCTCCATAAATGCCAAGAATTATTTTACACTACCATATTCACAATACTTTTGTTCTGATTGTATCAATACTCCCACAGTAAGCCTCTTCTTTTCAAGGATTTATACACATTTGGGGCTTAAAAATTCATTTGGGGCTGACATTTCTGTCAATAAGATCTTAGCGTGGCAAACAACTTAATAAAAACTCATGTTGTCCTCACAAACTATAAAAACTATTTATTTGGTGTTTTAAAACTTGTCAGAAACATTTCTTTTGGCAATCCATAGTTTACAAAACAGCTTTTAACACAATAAAAGGGATTGCCAAAAGCAAAGACTTCTCTTGTGTAAGTATTCTAGAATGTGATCTGGTTACCATACACAGACATACAGAGATTGCTGTGCTTGGTCTGACTCGCTGCTCTGCTCTAGAAGAGGAGGATACACAGTAGAGAAGAACACACAGTAGCCACGTATAGAAGTGTCCAGGACAGAAATCAGACTGGAAGGTGAAGCTACAATGAGGAGCACACTGTCAGGAGCCACGCTGCTACCCCATATAGGTGTGCTGGCAAAACAATTTTCCCACTCTGTTCTCTTGTACTAAAGAAAGGAAGTACAGTTGCTTGGATATTGAAGGCAGACATAGCTGGTCTTTGAAGAACCACATATAAATTGGTCCGGTATAAAGCGTCATATTAAAGAGGGCACCATTTAGTTTGCTTAATCTAGACAGGTGAAAGACAGAAAAAGAATATGAGTTCGGAAAGGAATTGAGGAGATATTCCCTACAATTGCAAGGGAAAAGGCACCTGTCGATCCTGCAAAGGTAGTTTTTTAAGGACATTAAGAGTTGTTCGATTTAATGAAAATGTTTCCTGCAACATTAACAAAGCATGGGTAAAGCTCCACAGATGATCTGGTCTATGAAGAAAGAAATAGAAACAATCACCAGAGACAGGGAGAACCCCTCCCATCACATTGGTGCTTTTTTTTAGGACCTTGCACCCAGTAGGACAACTTCACTTTGACGTCTGACAGTCCCTCATACAAATCCAAGGAGAAATATTCTAAGTCCGTTTAAAATAGTCATAATGAAATCACCAAAGGAACACAACATTCTGAGCTAGCCCCATAAGATCTTCTTAATGGTCCCTTTATGTTCTGCAAAACACAGAGAATCACTTTTCTTGGGTACATTTTCTTTTGCTCCTCCTCCAAGCCACCCTGTTGCAGTGCAAGGGGTAGCCTGACAGATGACTGTAATGATCCCACACACAGCTTTCAGGATGATGCCAGCACTTGATACAGCAATGACTGCATTAATCACAGACACAGCTCCTCACACAAAGCAGCTGAGCCTTAACCCCAAACAGTACACATCTCAGGCATCAGGGTTCTGGGAAGCAGGATGATGGAGAACAAGAGGCACAGTCAGGGTAAGGACTGACCTTTCAGCAAAACAAGGTAGAGTAGCTCAGCATGAAATGTCTTCAGGAAATAACAGTATAGAGTATTCTAGTCAGGCGGATAGTTACCATTCAGCTGGCATCAGTTTCCTATTTACTTGTCATTAACCAACTCCAAGACTGTTATTTTTAACATAAAATTCTCTGATTTTTGCAGCCTTTTAGCTGTCTCTTATAATATCTGAGCATTTTCTGTTACAAATGCTGCAGGGATTCTGAGAAGTAAAGTTGTATTTTAAAATCTGCAGAAAAATATTTTAAAACAGCTCTTAAGCCCCACCAATACTAATACCGAGCAAGGAACCATAATAAAGGATACTGAAGCTCCTATCTGTGATTGCTAAATGCCAGAGGTTAATCCTGAGATCATCCGCTGACATGTATGTCTCACAGTCACTGTTGACAGATATTGAGTTGACATGATAGGTGTGACCATTAGCAAAGATTCTCCGGGGAGTGACTTCTACCATCAAATCCATAGGTTTCAATACAGGCACCTGCCAAAACAACAAAACAGAAACCAGAAAGGGAGTAAGATTTTAAATAATTTTTTGTTAGGATGATGAGTTTCACTAGAAAGCAAGCATTCAAAGACTGTGACATTATAAAACTTCTGGACAGTGTGCGCAAGCTGAATTTCCCCATGGATGAATTGCTGGGCAAGGCCATCCCTGCCAAGGAGGATGTGAGAGGTGGGTGAGACATGGAGAGCCAGGCAGAGCGACAGAAAGCCTGGACTGTGAGAAGGGAAGCCCTGGAAAGGCTGGACTGTGGACCCGGGCCCCTGCCACAGAACAGGCCAGTCCCACAGCAGGAGCTACTGTCTCACACATGCAGGAGGTTCTGGCTCTGACAGGCAGGGAAGGCCTAGCATTTTGCTTTTGCTTAAGAGTTTGCTGTTAGTTGTAAATCACTTACAGTATTTCTTTTGCTACTTGATATCTTTCTTTCATAAAAGTCAAGTGGTGAAAAGGTTATAATCTCAGCAAAACATAATAAACGAAGCCTTGGAAAACAAATGCAACGTGTGTCTTGACATACCATACATACACACATACTCCTGAAAAGCCGAGACCACAGACTATCACTCATCATTGCGCTTTCATTATTTCCCTGTGTGTTACTTCAATGTCATGCTTCAATAACTAGACACTGCCAATTTATTCCCTATTGGCAAAGCATTAAACACTGTAAGGCTGTGGTCCATGATTGGGACTATTCGATGTTGTTGAACATGCATCAGAAACAATCTATCATACATCAATCCACAAGACAGTTTAAACAGGAACACAGAGAAGTTAAAGCTTTGAGTTTAGCTTGCCACTAAAGGAACAAATAATGGTTCGCTCAGCCTTTGAATTCTCAAACTATAAGCAATCTGGAATGGTTTTGTTTGCCTAATCATACAGAATAAATAAATATTCCATTAAGGCAGTCATCTTTACACTTTGGAGGCTTTTTTCACAATAGACAATATTGGCTAATTTTGGACATGGGGATTGTTTGTTTTTAATAATAAAGAAATACTAGCATTTATACAACATAGCCTTCCCATTCTAACCTTTAGCCACTTCCTTTGCCAAAACATCTGGAGTGAATTCAGCTGTTAAAGTCTGAGAGAAAAAAATTTATTACATTATCATGTGGGTGTCGGTCTTTTCTCTCAAGTAACAGGCGGTAGGACACAAAGAAATGGCCTCAAGTTGTGCCAGGGGAGGTTTAGATTGGATATGAGGAAAGATTTCTTCACTGAAAGGGTTGTCAGGCACTGGAACAGGCTGCCCAGAGAAGTGGTTGAGTCACCATCCCTGGAGGTATTTAAAAGCCATATAAATGTGGTGCCTAAGGACATGGTTTAGTGGTGGGCTTGGCAGTGTTAGGTTAACAGTTGGACTCAATGATCTTAAAGGTCTTTTCCAACCTAAACAATTCTATGATTCTATGATCATACATGCTTATACGAGTTCCATGACTGCATCAGTTCAGCAATGCAGAACCTCACATTCACTGGAGCAGAGAGTACTGCAAATTCCACTCTTCAGATAGGAGATAATTCTTTTACACTTCTGAAATAAAGATGAGATTGAAATTTGGTGTACTCTCTTTAACTCAGGTGCTCTGAATGAGGCAAGAACCCTGTTTAATATTAATTACAAGTAGAATGCTTCCAGCATACCAGGCTAAAGAATCCTGTGTGAAAGCACGTTAGGTCACACTGAGAATTTTATCAGGAAGAACAAAACTGACATAAAGTCCCTAAACATATCTGTGTTAGTCACTATATTATAAAGCATTTGTGACTGAAAATATGCGACAGATTCAAGACCGTTATCAGTCAGCTAAAACTTCAATGAGAATAACCATATATATGCTTAGCATTAGGTACATATTTAAATCTTTTACTGAGTTAGCACCCATGACTACCATCTTTGTACAGAAACACCTGGATTTTGAACAAAGACAGCAGCTTACCTGCAGTGATGTTACTGTAGAAAGATCTTTAAGTTTTCCTTCCTCATCTTTTAAGTTGTACCCCTCTGGTCTCTTATCTCTTTCAGTAATTTTCCATAACTTGATTGTTTTATCTTTACAAGAAAAGACAAACAACTGTCAGCATAGGAATTCTGAATGTGGTTACTCACCTTTTACAATATATTCCTTAAAGTAGTTTCTACATCTTGGTTTAGACAAGTCCTGCACTGAAACAGCCTGAGTCACTTAATTTTGTACATCCAGAAAATGTTGCCAACAGAAGAAATACTCATAAAGCACATCCCGTGGCTTCAAACCGAGTCAGAGATTCCCAGCAGCCGACAGATCATGTAGAGCATGTAGAGCACATGCTGCTCTTGTCTCCAACTTGGGAGTTTGCAGGTGGAACAGACCAAAACCACTAGTGCTCACTGCTGAAGCTCAGTTTGACAATGCGACTTTGCAAAGAAATAATCTTGATATTAACGCCAGTTTGCTAGGTTACTTATAAAAAGCACAAGAAGAGCATGGAGTAGACAGACAGACCAATGAAAGCTGCCAAGCCCATTGTGGGAATAGGCAATGGTGTATTGGTGTAACATCAGGAGCTCCAGCAAATGAAAGGCTGTGTGAAAAATGAGACATTTCTCCCTCCTAAGAGAAAGCAGTTGTGAAATAACAGAGAAAAAAAAATGAGAGAATTGTGTTGTAACCGTAAGAGAGAGAAGTGGGGAGAAAAATATACTAATCTTACATGGAATGGAATTACATCTAAACTCTCCCTTTTTCATTATGGGTGAAGCATATGATGACAGAAGAAGGATGCCTCTCATTTAGCAAAAAGCCTCTGAAGCCAAGAAACAGAAGTTTTAAACATTTCAGATGAAGTCTGTCCTTGTTTTAGTAGTAGCTGAAGCTGCAGATTTCCCTAACGTTGATCATCCATGCCCACTCTTGTCATGCACCCAACCTGCCAACCCTAACACTCCCTAGGTTGAAAAATCAATGCCAGCTCTTCTGCAAAAAATCTGTCCCTGAGCTTCTAATGGTTGTTTCATCTATCTGTTCATGGAGCAGTCAAAGCCTTTCCAAAGCTTCTGCACTTCAGCTGCCACCACAGCTTTCATTAACCTCAGTTCCTGCATAATTTCTGATTTCATTCCACTTTCTTCCTTTACCTCTCTTTCCTCAAGTACAGAGCACAGCATAATTCTTTCCTCAGTGTGGCTGATCCAAACACTTCTTTCAAATGCTAGTAAAAATAATTTTAAAGGTAGGACACATGAATACATGAATCGCTTTGCATTTCTATAGCAACTTTAACTTTGACTTTTTTTGTTTCAGAATCAATCTCTCCAGTACTCTGAGTGTTCTTACTATTATTCATCCCCTAATGATACTGATATGCTCATTTTCAAGCAACAAAAATAGTAAAATTAATCAATCTACAGAACAAAAGGTTAGTTCAAACTGCAACTAAAAAGATTCATTTAAATATTCAATACATTTAATTTGTATCAGTCATATTAATTAATTACTAATAACACATATAGGCCATGTCACATACTTGGGATTTTTATTACATGTAAATAGTGCATTCCT